CCGCCGCTGCCTGGGCCGCCGCCCCCCATCCGCTGCGGCGCGCCGAAGTCCCAGGAGGCCGGCGCCGAGACTGGCGGCGAAGCGCAAGGTGGCGAAGCGCTGGCCCCAGGGTGCTGCTCCGAGGAGATCTCACCGCTTTTCCACATCTTCTTGAACTTGGACCGACGATTCTGGAACCAGATTTTGACCTTTGTGGAAAAAGGACTTGAGCATTAGTGGAGGAATCTGGGCATGGGGCAGGGACAGGGAGGGAATAGAGAAAGACCAGCTAGAGGTGGGCACAGAGCACCCTAGTGGGTAAGCCGATCAACGTGCGGCGGCCTTGAAGCCTCTGCTGGGTCCTGCTCCACTGGGAGGTAATCTCAAAAAGCCCCGGGCTGCTTGATAAGTGTGCACTGTGGTGATGGTGACAGCGGAAGGGGGTCAGGAGGCCCAGTTATTTCACTCTTAATCAGCAGCGAGGGGAAAGACAAGGTGGTAGGAGATTTCTGCCCACCCCTGCCTTTTTCTTTTCTCGCATGCGGCAGTCCTTTGGGGGTTTTCAGCTTTGGGCCTAGAAGTTTAGGCGGCCCGAGGAGCAGGACTGGAAATCCTTTAAACTACTTAAAATATGCTTTAAAAAACATTGTCCTGAACCCTCCTGATTCCTGGCCAGTCCAGGCCAGCGCCCTCCTCGCCCCCAGAGGGTGAGACCCCCACCTGAGTCTGGGTGAGGCCCAGAGACGCCGCCAGCTCCGCTCGCTCAGGCAGTGCCAGGTATTGAGTCTTTTGGAAACGCCGCTGAAGAGCCGCCAGCTGGAAACTGGAGTAGATGGTGCGGGGTTTCCGGACTTTCTTTGGTTTCCCGTTCACTATCCGGATTTCAGGCTCGAGGTCCTCCTTCTCTGCAACGAAACGGAATCGTGAGATCCGCGCAACCCGGAGGGGGGGAGGCTAGAGTTCCCGCCAGCCTGGAGGGCCTGGCGGGGTCTTGGCCTGAGCCAGGAGGCTGGCGGGTTCTTAGACATTTTGCGCGGTACAGGCGCAACCTCTCAATGCCCAGACCGGCGCCGCCACCGAACCCAGGAGCAGAGCCTTCCAGGGAAGGGAAAGACAGGCGCAAACTGGAGAGAAAGGAGAAACAGAGGGCAAGAAAAGGAGATTACTATAAGGCATGCACCGCGCGCTCATTTGGCCCTCGAGGCCACCGGCTCCACCAGCTGAGTACTAAAGGAGGTAACCGGTGACCTGCGGCAGATAGGAGGTTGGGAGGGTAAAGGGCACGAGCAGGCGGTGAGCAGACAGTGTGAAAATCCAGAACTCCGCCCCCCCCCTTCAAACATGTTTACCCATCCATCCCAGTATCTAGACCGACTTGGCACTCTAGACGCCAACGTTATGCATACCAGGCTCGTTGTTGGCTGGGGACGAACTTGTCCCATAGGGTGCGTAGGAGGTGTAAGCTGCAGTGTATCCCAGGTCGTAGCTGCTCTTGGCGGAGTAGGGGACGTTGTTGAGGCCGCTGGCATGGTACTGGTAGGAACCCATGTGCGCATAGGGCGAGCCCCCC